GAGAGGACCAATAATCGATTATCACTTGTTGACAATCGATTATCTGGGTTACCGTTGTCCTCCAACGGATAGAATTTTAAATTTTTGGACAGGGAATCTTTGGATAATCGATTATCATGGTTTGACAATCGACTATCAGCCTGTGTCCTTGAAAAATTTGTCTTCATCCTGTTGGAAATTCTAGCAACGGGTTTATCCCATTTTGGGCTATAAAAAGGCACCCAAATCCTCTCTTTTAATACACAATTCTTCAACATTTCAATACTCTTTCATTGCATAAGCATTCCCATTTTTCTTAGCTATTTGAGAGCCAATTCTTGAAGAAATTGTCGTGTTTTTGAGCGTTTACTAGTTCACTCATATCTACTCTTGTGAGAGTTTTATTCCTGAGTGTTTAAGTGTTTTCATACACTTTAAGGGAGTTTGTTCCCTTGTTGTAAACGCGAAGGAAGTTTCTTGTTCCTTCGTGAGAAGTCTTGGAGTGCGGTATCTCTGAGCAAAGGTGTTGAGGCTTGTGTGACTCGGGTTCTCAAGTTGTATCGGTTTGTTAAGCACCCTTAAGCTTAACGGAGTTAGTGTAGCTCGAGAGAGTCTCTCGGGGGGCTGGATTAGCCACACGTTGTGGTGAACCAGGATAAAACCCGGTGTGCTCCTTCTTTACGCTCTTTACTTTAACGCTCTCGTTTTAATTTCCTGCGATTTTGTTTTAAACGCTATTCACCCCCCCCTCTAGCGTTGGGCCTTTTTTCTAACACGTTCAACATGCCCGCGAGATATCGCATTATCCTTTTGATCGCAACCAAGTGCGACTCCTTAGGACAAGATTGATACCTAGCGCATATACAAACGGAGTACATGATATCCGGTCTACTCGCGGTAAGATAAAGTAAAGAGCCGATCATACCTCGGTAGCGTTTGATGTCCACCTCTTTACCTTTTTCATCCTTGTCGAGATAGCAAGAGGTGCTCATCAGTGTGTCAATGGATTTGGATTCGGTAACATCGAATCTCTTAAGCAACTCCCTGCAATATTTCGTTTGACACACGAATGTCCCTGCTTTGCATTGTCTAATTTGTAGCCCAAGGAAGAACTTTAATTCTCCCATCATCGATATCTCAAATTCACTTTGCATCATATCGGAAAAATCCCTGCACAAAACTTCGTTAGTAGCACCGAATATGATATCATCTACGTAAACTTGAACCAAAAGGATGTCTTGGTTATCTTTCTTGATAAAAAGAGTAGTGTCGACTTGACCCCGTTTGAACTCATGGTCCAAAAGAAATTTTCTTAACCATTCATACCAAGCACAAGGTGCTTGTTTGAGACCGTAAAGCCCCTTTTTGAGTTTGAAGACATGTTCGGGAAACTCATAGTCTTCGAAACCCGGGGGTTGTTCGACATACACTTCCTCTTGAATGATACCATTAAGGAAGGCACTTTTAACATCCATTTGATAAAGTTTAAAATCCATTGTAGATGCAAATGCAAGCAATAAATGAATAGCTTCTAAACGTGCAACCGGTGCATAAGTTTCTTCATAATCAATGCCTTCTTCTTGATTGTAGCCTTTAGCTACAAGCCTAGCTTTGTTTCTAGTGATTACTCCATTTTC